AGGACATTCTCGATGCGCCCTAAAGTTGCCCACGGACCACTGCCCATATTGCATCTAATGGGTGCTGCCTTTTTGGACTGGCTCTTTGGGGTCCTAGATCTCCCCGAGGGCGGGACTTCCTTGCGGCTGGTTGGACGCTGGAGGCCTGGCCCACCCAGGACTGACCTGACAACACTTCGGAGAATCCGGCTCAGTATAAAGTGACCAGTGCTTCCTGAGGGGGAGGACCACCTCTGGCAAAGCCATTTCCACAGGCGCTCAGAACCGGTGCTCCTTTTAGAACAACTAGGTAACTCGCCGGGGAGGAGTTTGCATAAGTGAGGGGCCGGAGCCCCAGACGCTGCGCCCGGGGGGAGGCAGGTGTGATCACGGGGACACCTGCAGCCTCCGGGCCAGGGAGGGCAGGAGGGCTCCTGGAGAAGGAGGATGAACAGAAGACGACCAGCCCCTGAACATCTCTCCCCTAGTCTCTCAGCTCCTGACCCTCGGCCAGCCTGGGGAGCGGAGAGGGGAGGCAAGGCCTCAAACAGCAAAGCACATAAATTTAAAAAGGGGAGCTTCCTTCGTTGGAACCTTATTTTTGTCTGTGGCGGGTAGGAAGATGTTGTCACTGCTGAGTCTTCTCATCACAAACACCGAGGGCTGTGCGAGAAAAAGCATGGCCAGGAAGCAATGGCTTCCGCCGTGACACTGATGTGAATACCTGACTCCGTATCTTTGGTCCTAATCTACTATGGGCAGCAGCCCTGCTCTCAGGTGAGTGACAGCACCACCTAAACCTGGACGTGGCACAAACGCTAAAATAAAGACGGGAACCTGTTCAGGGACTCGCTATTATCCTGCATCTGACGGACTGTGATGCACTGTGCTCAGCAGTTTAAACACTGAGATGTTTATCAGGCTCTGAACAGTTAACGTCCGCCTGCTCCCCTCCCCTCCCATTATGTTCACCCTTCTTAATATTTCAACACGGTGGCTGCTTACAGCACATGAGGAAAAGCTGACACAGGCCTTTGGCCAATAAAATAAAACATTTTGGCTTATTTACATTTTTGCTTTGTTAGTAAACTGCAATGGCTGGCTCTGGCAGTGAGACCAGTGAGATGAATATGCACTAAATCTTGCCACGCGGTGCTGCGTCAGCTTCCGCTGTGCGAGGACCATCAGGCCCCGAGGAGACCCACAAGAGACAGTCACGCCCCAACAGTGTGTCCTCCTTAACCAAAGACAAGCACTGGAGGATGTCACCCAGGAAGCAGCACCAGCATAGAGTGATGGGGTGATTTCTTAGAAGGAAAAAAGGGTTACTATCATACATTTCAGAACCAACTGCATGGAGTTTGGATTTGCTTGATTTAAATGTGTTTGTATCTACGTGCACATTACCAATTAAAAAGAGAGAGTTTCATTTCTTTCTCTAAATATAAATACACTCGTATAAAGGAGGGAGAAATGCAAACAATAAGTGAAAAGAGGAAGACTGACAATGGCCTGGGGGGACCGTATCCTCAAATGCTTGTTTACATTGAACACCCAGGGCTGCGTTCCCCACCTTAACTACAGGCGCTGCAATGCTGGAGCCCAGCAGCGTGCACACAAAAGGAGACATCCATGTGGCCACTCACCGCAGCCACTCCACCCTGCTCTGCAAAGAAGGCAGGAAGGAAAGCCCCGCTGAGTGAGGGACGTGCCAGGCGAGCGGTGCCAGTGTCACAGCGGTCGTTCCCATGACACTCGGTGCTGTGAGGCGGCATGATAGGAGGGCACATTTGCAGTGGGCGGAGGGACGGTTTAACAGGCACGAAACAGAGTCAGCCACTTGGGATGCTGTCCTGGCCTTTGTTTATCTAGCCTCTGATACTTCTCCTTAGCTGTCAGTCTCATTTACCAGGGCAGAGATGGAGGAAAATGAGTGCTCTTTTTCAGCAAACCCTGGGAAAGCAACATGAGGAAGAACCCCCACAACATTTTGGCTTTCCCTCACCCCAGCTATCAGCTACACAACAGCTGCGCACTTTAACAATGACTGCATGGAGACAATGATTGAGAGAGCCAATCTGTGACACATGGAGAGGCAGCAGCAAGATATGGTGGGAGGTAATGGGAGAGAAGTGAGGTCAGAAAACACAAGTTAGTTCTGGGAATGAGAGGAAGGAAGGGGGAGAAAAGAAAGCAAAAAGGCTACATACAGAAAAATACAGGGAAATTCCAAACAGATGTTCCCAAAGCAGCAGTTTGCACATCTTGCCCTGAGTGGGAAACCAGGCGATTGCTCCCTGACCTTTTCTTTAAAAAAAAAAAATATTTTTATTGATTTCAGAGAGGAAGGGAGAGGGAGGGAGAGACAGAAACATCAGTGATGAGAATCATCAATTGGCGGCTTCCTGCACACCCCCCACCGGGGATCGAGCCTGAAACCTGGGCATGTACCCTGACCAGAATCAAACCCGGGACCCTTCAGTCCCCAGGCTGACGCTCTATCCACTAAGCCAAACCAGCCAGGGCCTCCCTGACATTTTTATTTCATTGGTACAGACTCAGAAACAAATGACAGTGTAGGCCCTGGGCAGTTAGCTTCCCGACACAAGTTTAAAATACAAACTATACACTTTAAACATATCCGAGGAGGCTGGATGCTCTCTATTGAAAACCTGCTTTCCCAAGAAGTTAGCGAGAGAATGAGCTCGGTAGGTGCTGCCCTGCGGTGATGAGGAGCCCACCGACCAGCCTGGCCCCTGCATGCTGAGCCACCTCCTATGCAACATGTAGCAGCACAGGTCCCAGTGAGTCTCGTGTGGGGCATGTGCTCTGTTGCGCATCAAAATCCAAACAGGGACATTTTACAGTTTCCAAATCCCCGTCTGGAAATGATAAACCCATGGATAAAACTATCAGACTGTGCACTACCCATGGCAGGGATTTTAAATGAAAAGCTGTAATGTCTTTACCTCAGAAATGTCTTCATTTAGGATTAGGAAAAGTCCTTGGACCCAATTCAAAAAGGAGGAGTGAGTTCCTCTTTTGACAAATACAGTAATTTACAAAGAACTTTCCCATGTTTAGGTAGGTGATTCCTCAAACACCATCTCAGTACCAAGATCTGCCTAAGGAATTCTGAAACAGAGAGCAATCACAGCTTTAAACTGTGAAAAGCAGGCAAGCCCAGGTTTCAATTACCATGAGGACAGATATTTTTGAAAGAAAGGTGACATCAAACTGTCTCAATCAAAATGTATTAAAATTATACCTATATCCAAAATATGGATGATTCTTAGAAACATAACGTAGTCAAAACAGCCACTGTAGATGACCATGTGCGGCATGGGTGACCGTATGTCCTGACTAGCCAGGACCTCCCTGGTTTATGCCCGTTGTCCTCCTGCAATTATTAATAGCAACGCTTACCTGCTCCAACGTGTTTCTCTCCGCTTGGATGATATGTTATGTAGTCATTCTAAATACAATACAATTCTATAAAGCTCAAAACTAAATAAAACTAACAATGTATACTCTATAGAAGTTTGTAATAAAATTCTTTAAAATCCCCCAAACCGAAGCGAATGATTAAAAATACACAGAGAACATCCGAGGCAGGGTGATGCGCAGAGCTGGAGATAATGCAGGAACACACACGCAGATGCGCCATCAACAGCAAACACTCCAATCCCAAAACTGCAGAGTGGGCTCACGCACATTCATCCAATAGTTACGTGTCATAATCAGCATGTTACACATGTGCATACATACGTTCATACACACACAACACATCCCATAATAAAGATTAAAAAACAAAAAAAGGTGTAGCCCTGGCGGGGTGGCGCAATTGGTTGGACCGTCATCCTGTAGATCAGAAGGTTGCCCATTCCATTCTGGTCAGGGTACATACCTAGACTGCAGGCTTGATACCTGGTGGGGGCACGTATAGGAAGCAACCAATCGATGGTTCTCTCTCCCATCTCTCTCTCTCTCTCTCTCTCTCTCTCTCTCTCTCTCTCTCTCTCTCTGTCTCTTCCCCTGCCCTCTCTCTAAAATCAGTAACATTTATTCTTGGGTGAGGATTAAAAAATAATTCATAAAAAAGGTATAAAATGGTAAAAAGGGTAAAAACTACCATCCATACTTTCAAGATAATAGAATAAACTATCAGAAAATTTATCTGCAGTCCAATATCAATTCTGGTGGATTAGTAAAAAGTGCTTTCTGGCAGCCGTCTACATCATGTTAGCAACATTTACACAGAAAAAAATGGCATCTACTTTGCTGATAAAGGAAAGCTTACTGCTTGGTAGGTCTGAATGAATGAAGTTCAATCTAAGAAAGAAGGATGAGGATGAGGCAAACGACAAACAAATAAACAAATAAATAATCCTGAGCACACAATACAGGAAGCAAAAGATACAGAAATAGCAGGACCACTGAAATAGCTGAGTCAAGAGTTAGTTCACCGGAACACAAATGTCTTATGTCAAAATTAGAAGGTAATGTTTGTATCAGTAACAAGGCCTTGAGTGTATGCTGGCAAATTATGACACTGATAAGTACAAACACTACATCTATGTTAGAAAATAACTGCCACAGTATAAGTTAAATAGAACCCTAAAAACTAAGGCCAATACTCGTCAATAATCTCACCCTTAGCAGCACTAATCAACAGAGATCTTATTTAACAGAATCATTACTAGACATATGCTAAGAGAAAGTAAGTAATTTCCTGGCTTAAGCGTAGGCAAATGGGCAAACTGAAGATATCGGCGTGATTGGTGATTTTATTAATTGGGTGTTTATATTCATTAGTTGAAGACCTTTAGGAACTGGGACTCTCGAACGCTTTGGTCATAACTCACAAAGTTATGCTCCTAATACGTGGTCCCATCCCTAGATTTTTAAATAGCAACAATACAAAACAAAACCCCAAAACGGGATGGGGTGTATATTGCTCTTGATGAACATGAGCTGTCTTTCCTTCAGAGTAAAAGCATGGTTATTTCGAAAGGGAATACCTGGAATACTTGCAGGAGAAATTGGGCCTGATCGTGACTGGTTGCTTCCTACAGGCGAGCCCACGGGAGAAGGCGATGGGCCCCCGGGGATGCTGGAGAGATGGGGGGATGCGTGTGGAGAGAAAGGCGACTGGGCCGGGTTGCTCTGATCCCCTTGGCTGCTCGTGGAGCCCGATGCACTGACTGCAGAGCTCAGGGTTGCTTCCGTTCCCGTGGGGAGGTCGTCAATGGAGCCTGACAGGTCCTGCGAAAGGAAGACACAGCATGGATTTATAGAGGAACCTGTTCGGACCGACACCTGGTCAAAACCATTTGGAAATCATAACCACCCCCCTCAGCAATGAAGTTTTCCTAGATAACACCCAAAATTCAGAGCATGGCCGCTTGTTATTAGAACACTTTACTCGGATAAGTTGAACCCATAAGATCTGATCTATCCTAAGAAGTGAGTAAAGTTGTACGCCATAAAACCATCCTACAAGCTTTGCTTTAAGCTGTCAGCTGGGCCAAACATTTTTAAATGACCAAAAAAAAAAAAAAAATCAAAAGAGTACTATTTTGCAATATATGAGAAATATCTGAAATTCAAATGTCAGTGCCTGTAATGTTTCAGTGGCGCATGGCCACGGCCAAGGCCATTCCTTTGCCTGTGGCTGCTCTCGGGCCACAGGGACAGCAGCTGAGACAGAGCACGTGGCCTACAGGCGGGAGTACCCGCTGTCTGGCCCCGCAGCAAGAGCATGCGGCCCTTTAGAGCGTGGGTCCCAGCACAGCCTCCCTGCGTGGCCCCCTCTTCAGGGAGGAGGGTGATTCCGGCCCAGTGCACAGTGACGAGTGTGCAGAGCTCCCCCAAGATGGGACTGACCCCACACCAATGGTGGGGTTGGGGGGGTGGGGGGGGCAGGAGGACCTCACTGTCTCTGAAGGTGCCAACAGCCCCGGAGCCCCGGGAGGGGAGTGTGGGCCCCGCATGGAGGTGCGCTCTCCAATACCCAATGCGCACCAATACGAAACAAAGGCTCAATCAGACAAAATCATCTGAGAGGAAATACGCTTTTTGTGCTTTTTTAGAGGAAAAGAATTGGTCAATAACTAGATATAAAACCATGGAATTAAACACAGAAAAGACTTAACTTTTAAAAAATCATTAGATTCAATTGAAAAAATACTGAAGTTAAGTAATTTTATGCAAATCTTTCTTCATAAAAAAATGAATTGTTACTTTGAAATTTTTAAAATTCTCTGCACGACCTATAAATTCCTTCTTGTCCTCCCTTAAAATTCCACGTTCTGGTTGAGAAAGCGACTTGGATCGGTGTTCAGAGAGCTCCGTTCAGGCAGCAAAGGCACGAAAGGCATCTCTGCTGTTCACCCCGCTGATCAAGGCAATTCCAAGAGAAACATAAAAACGGTGGCTTTCTCAGTGCTCACGTGTCATCAGAATTTCAGAGCTGACTAGACTCAGTGCAACAGAGGAGCAGTAAAGAGATATAATTCTATATTGCTGTTACACACACGCGTAACTTTTATATGTAAATTATGGAGAAATATTCCCGCCCTGCAGACATTAGGGCATCCATATGTATAGCTATCTTACAACACGTTAATAAAAGAAGTTCAACAGTGGTTTAAACTTCCAGCCTCGTTAACAAAGAAGCTGTGTAACTAACACTCCTCTGGAGGACAATTGAGTCAGCAGGGCACCGACTCCATTCTTCTTTTGTAAGCAGATCTATGACGCCTGCGAAGAACAGAAGAACAGAGATGCACCAACCAACCGAGGCACCTTCAAGCTACACTGCTCCCATTCACCCTGGGGGAGCTGGCAGGGCAGGTAATTGCAGGGAGCCCCTACCCCAGCATTCCTTACATCCTTCCCCTTCGTGATGAGTGAGGGGAAGGCAGACTCCTGGGCTCATGCACAGTACATTCAGTATTTGACCATGACAATGTGTTTTGGCAAAATTGGGTTTTCAATATCTGAAATCACTCGGAATACAAAATGCCTTCCAGCACACCAAAAATAATATAATTCCTACTACTAATGGTTCATTTATTGTTAGAAAATCCGTGCCTTAAAAAGGTTTTACTTTAAAATTTAAATGAAAGTTTTCTGCAAAGACTTTCCTCTGTAACCATTATTCCTCCACCCTGCTCATGTACAATTTTCATTCTAACCCAAGTGCCAAGTACAAGAGATTTTACTGTGCTTAGAATGAAATGCCACTGGGAGCATTAGCAATCCTACTAGATTCTGACAGGGGAAACGCTTATGAATTAGCATAGAGCACAAACAGGTATGTCCCTGATTCAATGCAGTGTGACAGGGTGGAGGACACAGGAATGTACATGGGCACATGCCACCAAGAAGAATTTTTAAAGATCTACATATAAGTAAAACAGACATACAATATTACATATACAGACTGTATATGCTTCTCCTGAAAAATCAGCATTAATACATTATCACTTACTACCTCAAAAGACATCTTTTGTTTTGATGTTACTTGATTTATCTAATAAGTTAGTTTATTCAAATATAAAATCAGTCACTGCTGGGAATGTCTTACTATCCTAAAGCGCTGGGAATAAGTTGGAAAATTCTACTCCCTTGCTTAATTAAATAAGTAGGCTTTTTAAAAAGCACACCAACTTCAAAATACTCTGCGCTGTGGCCTCGCCTCTGAGAGAGAACTGCAGGGCTGCGCACACGTGGGCATCTGCTCAGAGGCGCCCCGGGAGAGCAGAAGGGTAAACACAGCATTAGAAACAGGCGATATTTCAATCAATGAGACCACGCAGGTCTCTGGTTTAAGGGTTTTAATAGGACACAGTTAATGATTTCTCCTGTGACTTCCCCTGGGTTTGAGGCACAGGTTAAGATGCCAGCCCAACGGTCTTTAGGAAAGTCTCTCATTCATTTTCAGAACTAGTATCTCTTCTCCTCCTTAGAATACTAAGTATGAAATTCAGGCAGCAGTTTTCTTTTTCTCTCTCCAACTAGACCCTACCTTTCTGAAAGGCAGGGACTCTGTGGGAGCTGTGGCGCTAAAGAGGGCAGACTGACTGTCACTGCTGAATGTCACTGAATGACAAGCTTCCTAGTGATAACAGCTGCAAACACTACACCAGGAAGCCAGCACGTGTCAATATTTCTAAGTATTTACCACCAATGCTCTGCTGAAAACCACTGACTTCGCTATTAAAATTTAGCCAGGTATTCTCAGCCCTGTTTCCAATGGCCATCCTGGAGGCCCAGCATCCAGTGCCATTAGATACTCGATTTTCTAGAAACACACTGTGAAGTCACTTCATGCCCCACCTTATTTCAGAGCTATCATTTGCACACGAGACACAAGTACACCCTGAAATCGATATTAGAATTGAGCCACTAATTTGACTGACATATATACACAAAAGGAAAAAAATTTCACGATGAGTGTTTAATTTCCATGATGTTTAGAAGGCTTCTTTCAGCACACACCTATGTGTGATAAACAGTGTATTTCAACCTCCCCCCCCCCCAAAAAGTCCCTGCTGCTTTCATTCGTCTAGACAGCAAATGACTTAAAAGCTTTGACCTGTCTCAATGAACTAAAAATTGCAAAGGCACAGAAAAGCAGAATCTATGAGGAAAATCGTTAAAGCACCAATTCTTAGGCTTAAAACATTTTCTTTCCAAGATGCTTTATATATCCTACTTTCTATTTAAACACGTGCAAATAACAAATATTTAACTCTTCGTCACATTTGACAATATGTGCAAGGTGCAGCCTTAAGATTGTGAGGTCAATTGGTAAAATAACGTTTGATGTTAATTTAAAAACAGTGATAAGCAAACAATAAAATAAAATAAATGAAAGTAGTCATAAGCTCCTTAAAAATATTCATAAGCTCCACAAATGACAATCTCATATCCAAAGCCAGGGCTAACACAGGGATAACTAATGAGTCAAATATTCACTTTAAGAGAGGTAGTCATGAGCCACTTTTTGGGGAAGTGGCTTCCACCTGATTCACTCCCATTCTTTCTCAAGCCAATATTCCATTGTGGGAAGTCACTGTAGGAGGACATGTATAGGATAACCAGCTAAAGTGATACTTCACAGAAGAAGAATTCAGAGTGAAGCATATGCTCACAAGTAAAAATATTATAATGGTTATACTTCCTTTTGATTTTTAAAATCAGCACCTACAATTAAAAGCTAGCCTCAAAGGTGCTTGGGTTAAATCTCCCGATAGGGAATGTGCTGCTGCTCTAAACTTGGCATTGGTAAACAATGTGAGTATGAAATATGCATGGTGCAGGGAATGTTTTTCCACTGCACGGGCCTCAGGGGGACCCTAAATTATTCTGTTTTGAACTCTGCCCGGGGATTCTCTGCTCTCCCACTGTTAGCCGTCTTGCTGTTATGTAGGCTCGGAAGAACCACACACAGACCCTTTCACACAGTCCGGCAGTCTTGAACTTACACATAATTTGGTAAGAACATGTATTTATAGTTTTCTTTGGGTTGTATGGAATTTGGGATTAAGGTTCATCTGGAAATAACGTACCCTCTGGTCACACGCTTAGGACCTCTCACAATGGCAATGATGATGAGCAGGGTCAGGACGATTTTAAGCAACGACTGTGCCACCATGGCTTTAGCACCTCCTCAGTACCAGAGACAGTGGGTACCGCTTCTTACGTGAGGAGACCACAGCATCTTGTTAGCTCCCGTCCATGGTTCCTACCGGCCCAAATGTTCAACTGACGTCACCACCTTGAGCCAAGCCCTCTCCTGACCATAAGTCAAGGCCCAAGTCAGAGCTGAAACACTAAAAAAGGCTCGTGTACGAGCAGCTGCTGCCTTTACTGTTCCAGGAGCAATGGCATTTTAAAGAATACACATATTAATACAAATTACAGACCACTGTGAAGTGAAAGCTATAGGGGGCGGGAGGGGGTATTTGCACGGAGAGGCAGCTCAGGCAGGCGTGCCTAGCTAAGGTTCGCAGGTGGAGCCGTAGGAGGAGGTGGAGGAAAAGGTAGAGAGGGCAGCTTTTACACCAAGAATACATTTTATATTTAGGTTGCCTATAGCATGTGGTCATGTACACTCCCATGTCCTTCTCTCATGGAGTCTCAATGAAGAGAAACAAACAGCCGAACAGCCAAATAAACAGCAGTAATTCTATGATGTGGAGCATGGAGCACGCGTCTTCGCCAGCCCACACTGGCCCAGTGCTGCCATCCTACAG